CTTCGTTTTATCTGCTGGCAAAAAAGCAGTAGTCAAGGCAAGCTGGGAACCAGAGTGTTATCAACTTGTTTGTGATGCTTTATTACCTGGCTTTGTGCAAAGCTCTAATAACAAGGAAAGGTGGTATTGGCCTGTTAATAATTAATAGCGCCCAGTGCAAATGAAGTACTTCTGTCATAGGGCTTCATCAGTAAGGTCACGGTACAATAGGGGTTGCGGGTCTCTGTAAGCATGAGTGGTATTTGCATATGTCAGAACAGACCGTGCATGCTAACAGTACAAACACTTCACATCTGCTTCTGTTTACTCCCATGCTAACACCCCAAAGTACAGGAGCCCTGTGTTAATTGCTCAGTTACATACTGACTGTTGATGTGTTCTCCACAGAGCTTTTCATAAGTGCACTGTTGCAAATAAACTGCTAATGACTTTGCTTATTCCAGCCAACCTTTTAAGGAAATCTACAACATACACGCAGATTAATGATTCCTCTATTTAGCAGTGTGTCTTGTGACTAGGTTTGCATAGAGGCAGTATCAATTAAGTAGCAATTATCTGCAAAGTGGAAAAAAAAGAGGGAAGATATAAATAAGTAATGAGCGTGATGCTAAAATCTCCGAGAACAACTAGAATTGAACTCTGAGGCAAGGGCACCGACTAGTGAACATTTTTTCCCATCCTTTCTTATACCTAAAACCCACAAAGACCTCATGAAAACCAGAATAACAGATACTCAAGTTCTTAAGGAATTTTTTATATTTGATTTTCAAGGTGATCATTATATTGAAACACCAAAGAAACAAGGAAAAGCAAGGCTGAACTTACACACCGTTAGCAAGACAGTTTATAAAAAAAGAAAAGAAAAGAGAAGGAAAGAAAAGAAAAGAAAAGAAAAAAAGAAATGAAAATGAAAATGAAAAAAGGAAAGGGAAGGAAGGGGAAGGGAAGGGAAGGGAAGGGAAGGGAAGGGAAGGGAAGGGAAGGGAGGGGAAGGGAAGGGAAGGGAAGGGAAGGGAAGGGAAGGGAAGGGAAGGGAAGGAAATGTTGGCCCTATAAATGTCTATTCTATGAAAGGACCTGGGGAAAACATATCAGATTTTCTTTTTATCAACAGAGGTCAGCACCGAGTCCTAATTTATCCCTCCATTCTTGTCAAACAATGGCCTTTATCAGTTTCTCATAAGACTTATCTGGAAAATTCCACATTATCTGGTTATAAATGAAAAGACCATATATATATATTTGGATATATATATATATATATATATATATATATATATCCAAAACACCCAAATTGGTAGGGTTAGTAACAAACTTTTTAAAATCTACTTTTGTTTACTGATCTTGGTTTATAACAACCAAATAGGTTCTTTCAGGTCAGGCTTCTCTCAGGAGATACTCAGAGAGGCAGAGGACGGGGCCATTTGACTATGGCCCTTGTTAACCAAGACAGTTTTGACCCCAACAGTAATGGACTGAGAAGGATGTGAATTAGAGCAGAGAGCCAAATGTTTTAAGGTTTTTCCAGAAGATCTAGAGTCCAACAGTTCCTTTGATAGCTTTTCTCCTCAGGACTGACTATCATAGGTCAAAAAAAAAAAAAAATTAACCTATGGTAACTATATTTTCCAAATCTTAAATGAGGACAAATGGTATGACAAATATATATGGGGAAAGACCATTAGAAATGTGAAATGCATAGACTAGCCCACAGTTAGACTCTGAGACAAGAAGACCCAATAAAATAGACCAAGAAAACATATTTTGCTGCAATATTCTAATCCTAAGGGAAGCTCCCAGCTTCTGGGTTGCTGTGCTCCAACTGGTAAGCCAGGAATTGTGGAGGCCACTAAGGTACATCGCCAGATTTTAAAGAAAATCTGCTGTGAGACTAGCTGCTGTACCTTCAGATCTGCCCAGATACTCATGTTGAGGCCATGCTTAGTGCTCAGGCTACTCCCAGCCAATGAATAAGCATGGCAGAGGCACAAGAGCCAGGCCATATCTGTACAATGCGAGACTTCTCTAACGGGAAATTTTGCTCAGGGACCCACATTGCCTTGACTGAGACTTCTCACTGTGAGGCTCTCCCAACATCTCCTTCTCCCTCTCCTTTACCTTTCACAAATGTTCCCTTTAATATTTGCTGTAGGTTCAGGCTTATTTAGGTGCACTGTTTTCTTGTAACTAAAAAGTCTTGGGTCATCTGGGTGGCTCAGTTGCTTAAGTAGCCTATTCTTGACTTTGGCTCCAGTCATGATCTCATGGTTGGTGAGTTCAAGCCCTGCATCTGGCTCTGTGCTGATAGCTGGAGCCTGTTTGGGATTATACTCCCTCTCTCTCTGCCATTTTCTGGCTTGTTCTCTCTCTGTTTCTCTCAAAATAAATAAATTAATTTTTAAAAAAAGAAAGTCTTTGAACAGCTGGAGGTACCCATTCCCTTATCTGTAACTCTTTGGGCCAAATGTGTTTCTGAATTCAGATTATGGTGCATCTACCGTATATCATATACCAACCCCAATTGGGGCACTCCACAGTGACTATGCAGTAAAATACAAACATGTATGCAAAGTAGGATAAATAGAGGCTATCCATGATCTCAGATAAACATATGCATGATCGCACCTTTCCCAAACATACACTGAGATCATGCTAGGAATTATCTCTAAATATATTACAAAACAAACAAAAAAATAAAGCAAATAAAGCCAAAGTTTTTGGTTTTCAGAGCTTGATAGATTTCAAAATTGTGAACTATATATTTTTTATACTATTACTACTAGTTTCCCCCTCTTCACATTAATCATCTATTAGATCCTAAGCCATTTACTCTCAAGCTTCATTGTCAATAAGGACCTCCTGCGGGTAGTTTTCAATTTTTCAATTCTCAAATTTTTATTCAGTAGGTCTAGTGTAAGGCCTTAGAAATCTGCATTTGAACAAGCTGGTGAACCCCAACCTCACTTGCGATCCTGATACAGAAAGTTTTGAGATTCAGACTTTGAAAAAATACTGTTCTATACTTTGACTTCACTTTTCAGTATGATAAGCTAACTAATATCACTAGTTCCAGGCTTAATCTCATGAATTTTGAAGTTTGTTGCTTTTTGAACATAGAACCAGCAAACTAGCTTATTCTCTTGTTCTTCCTCTTTGACTTTATCTATGTTTGCAGCTAAATTATACAGCATTCACTTTCTAGTGAGGTATTAACTTCATCAGTCACTCTTCAGGGCTATTATCTTGAAATGACAGAAGTTAGTGGTGTTTTGTTTTTTTAACTGAAATAGAGCTGAATAGTTTCTACTTATTTTTGAATATCTGTCTCGCCAGAGTACCAGCTTGATCCTATAGAGTTGTTCAAGGAGTCCCCTGTGCCCACGATAGTTGGAGTTATAGGTAGAAAAACTATAGACAACTCTAATGGGTAAATGAATCCACAATAGGAATAGCAGGAAAACTGACATGAAATATATTTGTAAGTGTACTCTCACTCAGTACTACTTTTAGCTTGGTTCTCTTGCAGAACCAATTTTCGTTTGACCTAGCAAAGCAAGTTATATTTCTAAAGTTTCCTTTCATTTTCCAAAGATATTCTTATTTCTGTTTTAAATTGAGTGCTTCCCCAAACTGGAGACTAATTGGAGACTGTAATGAGATATGTTAGGAAGAGACATTAAGGAAAAAAAACCAAGCTCTGTAAAAGGGCCCAGGTATTTACTTGGGTAATATGTTTACTGCAAAAAATTTCTGCTCTCTCCTGAGTAGGAATTTAAAGTCCTCTGCTAAAAACAGCTTGAATGGCCATTAATTTTAATATTAATAAGGGAAACACAAGAAAACCTAAGTCTGAAAGCATCCTTTAGAATTACATGAATACCATTATTTCCACAGGTTTCATGATTATCAAGCTGGAGAATATGACATTTTGCTAGAATTTACCTGGAATTAGAGGTTAAATGTGGTGTATATCCCTAGTGAAACAATTTTAAGAATATGTTAGAAAAAACTAATAGTTTTTATGCTAAAATAAGCAGAGACATTATAGTATAGAATGCAAAGTTTGTGTACTTTAATTAGTAAAACACACACCTCTTTAGAAATACCATAAATAAAAATGCCTCTTTAGACTAGGACCTCATAATATACAGAGGTCTGTCTTCTTTCTCAGTGATTCAGGGTAAGTTGGTGGGAAAGTTTAGGAAACACTACAGTTGATTGTGACATGTGGGGTTAGGTATTTCCTGTAAGGAGTGTAAACGTGCCTACTTTATTATTCTAGTGACTGCCCTTGAATTCTCCATCTCAACTTGCAATATATGGAGTTGAAAGCGGGTATGAAAATCATGTTTTAGTTGTGCTACCAAGGATATGCAACAGGATGTTAAAATTGAACTATTTCTGACTCTGTTTTGGCTAAAGCCCCAAGACAATATTTGCCAACTATTCCACATTCTAAAGTTAGACCACCTATGAAGGACTTGCAAAGAAATAGAGGAAATAGAGAAGGAACCCACAAGGCCATTTTCCCCCTTCAGGTAACAACCTATAGCAGGCCAACTGGGGCTGAGGAGAAGCTCTAACTTAGATGAAGTTTGATTTTACACAGACTGGACATTTTAATTGCTGAAACGAGACTTTCCTTTTGTGAAAAGAGGTGATCAGAGAACTTTTTATTACCTAAGAATGACCAAAAAGTCATAGGATTTCCTCCAAATTTCATCTGAGTCATAGAGCAAATACACCTACAAAGTGGGTCTGAATGGGCAGGGGAAGGAAAGTAAAGTGGTTTTTTTCTTTTTCTTTTGTTTACTATATGTCTGTGACTGGGACATGAATCAGGAAGAAAGGAGCAGTATAAGTAAACATTTAGAAATTTATACTGATTCTTTTCTTTTGTGTTTGTTTGCTTTAAGGGGCTATTACGCTTATTTTTATGAACTTTTTTTTAACCATATCAGGACTTTTCCTTTCCACTTTACAACACATTCTCTGCTTACCTCTGCTACATGCCCTGAGCTCATTCTCCATTCAATGCTGTTCTTGGTGTTCATTGTATCCATAGTTTGCTTGCTTTAAAATCTTATAGTGATATTATGTATCATCTCCTATAGGCTCTATGTTTTCCCAATTTGATGATGCTGGGATAATTTTCTAATTTCATGTGAGCTGTCTTCCAATTTCCAGAAATATCTGAAGCAAAAATAGAAGAGAAAATTACACTGTAAAGAACAGAAATATAAATACTGGTTATAGCTTTCCTTCAAAAGTGTTTTTCAGTTGGCTTACAAATTCCTGTCCTTCTCACCAGTTTATCTAATCAGGAGAAATAGACTGGAATCCAGGATATATAAAGCAATCCAGTCCTATTATTATGAGAAAGCTGGCTTCCAGATCATAGGACATTTTTCCAAAGTGAATAAAGAAAGAATTCATTTTACCATCAAGGGAAATTTTTTTTAAGGAAGTCTTAATTATATGAGAATTATCTTACTCTCTAAAACCAGATGCATAGATTCATACTGAGATACTTGCTAAAGGTTAAATTTTGAATACTGAGAGATGTTAAAAATCATTATTAGATCTTGAAAAGATGCTAATAATAGGTGCAGATATTTATTGAGCACCTATTAAGTGTTAGGCACTGTGCTGGGTCCTGGCCACACACTGATAACGAATGGATTCTTCCTGATCTCTAGATGCTAAAACAGTAGAAAAGAACACATACATTAGTAAATTAATACTTAGAATTATACATATAATAAGAGTATATATAAAAGATAAAATGAGAGATGACCACAGGAAGGAGAGTTATCTTGGTTAGAAACTTGGGGGGAGGGGCTTCTGGTCAAAGGTCAAGTCAGCACTGGCTTTAAAGAATAGCCCAGGAGACGATGGGAACCTCAAACAGAAAAGCAGAAAGCACAGATGCCCACATGCCAAGCAGTGTGGTGTGTTCAGGAATCCCACTAGCAGGATGGAGTAACTGGAACATTAAATGCACATGGACAGGAGTGATTAGGGCCAGTAAAGGACGTGAAAATGGTAGAAAAGGGCAGGTGATAAAAGGACTTTGCTAAGGAACTTCATCTTGAGGGCAGTAGGCAGTCAGCTGAGGATTTTATGAGTGAGAGAGATGAGTTGGTAAGTGATTTAAAAGAATTCATGTAGGGGTGCATGGGTGGCTCAGTCAGTTAAACATCTCGTTTTGCTCAGATCATGATCTCATGGTTCATGGGTTCAAGCCCCACATCAGGCTCTGTGCTGATAGCTCAGAGCCTGGAGCCTGCTTCAGATTCTGTGTCTCCCTCTCTCTCTGCCCCTCCCCTACTCGTGCTCTCTCTCTCTCAAAAATAAATAAATGTTAAAAATAAATAAATAAAAGAATTCATGTAGTTAAAAATAAGACATGAAGTAGAGCGTAGGGGAGCCTACAAATAAATAGAAACCAGATTCCTAGTGGCAGAAGAAGTAGAGAGAGGAGAGGAAAAACAAGAGAAATTTTAGAGGAAGAACACTTAGGGAGAGAGAGGCAGGGAAGGAAGGAGAAAGAGGGGGAGAAAGAGACAGAGAGAGATGCAAACAAGGGGAAGATGAGAAATTGTAATGCAATTGAAAAATATTTTGGGGTGCCTGGGTGGTTCAGTTGGGGTATTAGGCAAAATAATGTCTCCCTTACCTGCCTTGAGAGGTTCCATTCTAATCCCTGGCATTTATAAATACATAACCTTACTTGGTGGAAGGGACTTTGATGTAATTAAGTTAAGGATTTTCAAATGGGGAGATTACCCTGGCTTAGCCAGGTGGGCCCCTCTGTAATCACAGCAGTGCAGTCACTTCAAAGTTTTTCTCTGATAATTCTAACATCTAAGTCTGGTTCTGTTGACTTTCTAAAATTTTTTTAAATTTATTTTTATTTTAGAGAGAGAGAGGTTCAAGCAGAGGAGGGGGCAGAGGGAGAGAAAGAGAGAGAGAGAGAGAGAGAGAGAGGTATCTCAAGTGGGATCTACACTGACTATGGAGCCTGACAGAGGGCTCCATCCCACGAGCCTGGGACCTGAGCCAAACTTGAGTTGGGTGCTCCTGGTTTTGTTGATTTCTTTATGTCTTGGAAAAGTTTTATATTTTCTTGCTTTTTGGGCATCATTTCTTAAAAGTGAATTCTAGACATTACATTATAAAAGAATGATAGAAACCAAGGTAAATAATCTTTATGTTCAGAAATTGTTAATGTGGGTCTGATCCAATGTGGTCAGTAGTTTACCTAGAATTTGTTGCACAGGCTTCAAATTATTCCAGTAGTAGATGCCTACACCCTGTATTTAGTGTACGGGCTAGGATTGCCTAAAAGTTTTTCTGTGTTTCTGCTCTACAGTCACTTTCAGGAGCCCCTGTACACCTGTGTCACCTATATCTCTCCTTGCTCTTGCCCTCCAAAGACAAAGGCTGTTGTTGCTTGTCACTCAAGCACATGTGTGCAGATTTATGGAGGAAGAGGTGATTTCTACTTGTCCTCCACCCTTAGTGCTCCCTTATATGGGGCTTGCACCAGAGCCTTGGAGGGTGAGGCTTTTTCAGTAGTCTAGCTCCTCTAGATCCAGTGGCAGACAAGTCTCTCCATCTTAGTCAGTTCAGGCTGCTACACAGAGTAATATGGGGTGGGTGGCTTATAAACAACAAATATTTATTTCTTACAGTTCTGGAGGCTGGAAGCCCAAGATCCAGGTGCTGGTAGATTCAGTGTCTGGTCAGGAATTGCTTCCTGTTTCACAGATGGCTGTCTTTTCACCTGGGGGTCTGGGTGAAGAAGCACTCTGGGGTCTCTTTATATGGGTGCTGGTTCCATTCATGAACACTCTACCTTGATGATCTAATCACTCCCAAAGGCCCCACCTCCAAATTCTTTCACACAGGGATTAGGATCTTAATATAGGAATTTGGGGGGAACACAAGCATTCAATCTATAGCTCCTTCCACACAGCACAGATTCTAGAGGGCAGGCATATTTCCTTCTTCTTCTTTTTTTTTTTTTAATGTTTACTTATTTTTGAGAGAGAGAGAGCAAGACACAGACTCTGAAGCAGCCTCCAGGCTCTGAGCTGTCAGCACAGAGCCCAAAACGGGCTCAAACTCACAAGCATGAGATCATGATCTGAGCCAAAGTTGGACATTTAACTGACTGAGCCACCCAGGAGCCCTTCCTTCATCTTATCTATGATAGCCTAACTGCCTTCTATCAGTGGGGTAGTTAGCAAGCATAAATTTCCTGCCCTTCCCCAGCAGCCTTAGACATCCTTTTGTATCATTGCAAGATCCTGGGCATAAATGTATTCCCTGAGTGCCTTCCAGCAAAAGATGTTTTTTCCTAGGATCAGTGGAGGATGGCTAGAAAAGTGTCCGATTTTCTATCTTCTTCACACTCAGTGGCAGCAGGGAGTTAAGAGATTTTGGAATAGGAAGTTAAGAGATTTTTCTGCTCCTGTACAGCAGTAACCCCTGGGTTTTTAAATACAGTTTACCCTTTTTTAAAAATTTTTTAAATGTTTTATTTATTTCTGAGAGAGAGAGAGAGAGACAGTGTGAACAGGGGAGGGTCAGAGAGAGAGGGAGATACAGAATCTGAAGCAGGCTCCAGGCTCTGAGCTAGCTGTCAGCACAGAGCCTGATGTGGGGCTCGAACCCACGAACCATGAGATCATGACCTGAGCCTAAGTCAGATGCTCAACCGAATGAGTCACCCAGATGCCCCGCGTACAGCTGACTCTTGAGCATTGTAGGGGTTAGAGGCACTGACCCCCATACAGCTGAAAATCTGCATATAACTTTGGACTCCCCCCAAAATTAACTACTGATAGCCTACCGTTGACCAGAATCCTTCTTGATAATATAAACAGTTCATTAACACATATTTTTTATGTTATACATATTATATACTATATTCTTACAATAAAATAAGCTAAAGAAAAGAAAATGTTATTTAAAAATTATGAGAAAATATATTTATAGTACTTTACATATATTACTGAAAAAATCCATGTATAAAATGTACCCATGGATTTCAAATCCATGGGTTTTAAAGGATCACCTGTATTTTATACCACTTCTGTATTTTATACATTCCACTGGCCTAAAACCAGATAGTCACATCTAGCTCTAAAGGAGAGAGCTGGGAAATGTAGTTTTCTGTATACACAGGAGGAAATCGGAACTGTGTGATAAACATATAGCATTGTCTCAGCCTTACCATGATAATAGGAAAGGGACTAAACTGAGGACTCCCCACAGTTTTCAATCTCTTTAGCTTTGTAACCATGACTTTGGATAATCTGGCATCTGTCTACATCTCCAGCTTTATTTTCTCCCACATCCCACACATATCCTGTGGTGTAGGATAACTGTTTTCACTTATCTAAAAGACTGTGCTCTCTTGAGCAATGTCCTTGCATTTGCTCTTCCCCCTTTCTTCACTGAGTTTCCCTTTCTACATCATAACTCCAGGGAATATTCTCCAGCCTTTCTTTTGTGACCCTAGAAATCTCTGCATTTTTCTATTTCAGCAGTTAGCATGCTGTAGTATAATTGATTATAAGTTCTTTGAAGATAGGACAGGAAAATGCAGAGACATGAGGGTGGATAGCAGATTTCATTTGCATTCAGGGTACTGTAGGCCTAGCAGTACGAAAGCAAACCGTATACCCAACACTGACTCCAGTATTGACTCAATTCCTTTGTTTCTGCTCTCCTCTCATTCTCCTGCTTTTGTATCCACCACTACTCAGTAAGTAACATAAACTCATATTCTTTTTCTTATAACTCACGTGCTTTACAAAGAAATATCTTAATAATATATTAAAGGAGAGCAGAATATACTACCCTAAAATATGCCTCTTTGGCACAAGGATTATTTTGAGCTGGTTATTTTTTTAAAATGGCAGACACTAGAGAAGCTTAGAAAACCAAGCAGAGGTTACCCTTTTGTAAGAGACATTTACATCGATAAGGGAAACATCTATCTGTATGGAAATCTATCTCTACACCAGGAAGAAAAGCATGACCAAATCTCTAGAAACTTGTCATCTGAGAAGGCAAGAACTGAAATCTACATAACTTTATCCTTGTTTATTGTGCCTTTTCTGGTAATTTCTCATGATTAGCCTTCATCTCCAGGCAGCTTCCCATCTTTTGTCTTTAGC